TTTTTTTTTTTTTTTTTTATGTCTGTTACCGCATAATTTTCGATAATTCTTTTTGCATCGGAAAGGTAGTGGCTCAGAGGTGGCCCCATACTAATCTGGTTAAGATCCGATCAGCGGATCATGAGATATATATATATAAATAATTTTTTTTGTATGAGAGTTGAAGTCGGTTTTTTTTTGCTAAAAATTACTTGTTATATATAACCATTAAACAAAAAAAAATATCAAAAATAGCCGAAACTGGTCACAATGTCGGGTCCCTATTATTTTTCACATCACTGTATGTGGGCGTGTCCAACCCCGCCCACTTTTACATATTACAGTTTTTACTCTTAACAGACCTTAGGGTAAACATTTTATCCCGATATGTCCATTAAAAGTATTTTTGGCCGCTCTCCCCATATAAATGCAACCACTGTGCATCGGGAGGGAGAAAGGTATTTAGTCGCCGCTGCTATGCCGTAGCCATTCGGAGTATTCTATTTCATCTCCTCCGCAGTAGTCGCAGGGCCGTCGAGAGAAAACTCGGGCCGGACCGAAAAATCACGGGCCCCTATACATAAATTGCATTAATTTAGAAGCACGTAATTTTCTTTAATATAATATATATTATAGAATCAGAAGTAATCAGCGCGAATCGGAATATATTTATAGTAAAAAGCCTATAACGAAGGAGCAATTACATTGTTAAAAAAAAATAATAACAAGTTATGGTTCTGATATTTCAGGCCCTTTAAAACGACCGGCCCGGGGGGATTCCCCCCTTTCAGCCATCTCTCTCGACGGGCCAGCGCATATGGGTTCCGGTTCATGTTTGACGCGGTGAAGGTATGCTATGAAGCACCCGTGTCGAGTTAAACAGTTTGTCGAATGAAATGAATCGAGTTCGCCGTTTAGTTTGCTTCATTTGCGTGTACATATATACGGTTTGCTCTTCACTATGCGCGCTCCAATTGAAACATTCACGATTGTAATCGTATTGTAATGTATGAAGATATTTCATTACATTCACTACTTTGTCTTTATGGACTATGGGTTTTCAGACCCTAAAAAAGAGTGCCCTTTATTATAAAAATGGTTTTGTTAAACGGTATTAAATGGTGTTCAGTTACAATTTCGAGAAAGTAGAGAATTTCGTTTACTTGGGAACCAGCATTAACACCGATAATAATGTGAGCATTGAAATCCAACGTAGAATCACTCTTGCCAACAAGTGCTACTTTGGACTGAGTAGGCAATTCAGGAGTAAAGTCCTCTCTCGACGTACGAAAACCACGCTCTATAAGTCACTCATCATGCCCGTGCTGGTATATGGCGCAGAAGCATGGACAATGACAACATCCGATGAGGTGGCTCATGGAGTATTCGAGAGAAAGATTTTGCGGGCCTTTACGCGTTGGCGACGGTGGATACCGCAGACGACGAAACGATGAGCTGTATGAGCTTTACAACGACATGGGCATAGCGCAACGAATTAAAATGCAGCGGCCCCGCTGGCTTGGTCATGTCGTTGGAATGGACAGACACCGACGCTCCAGCTCTGAAAGTATTCAACTCGGAACCCGCTGGTGGTAGCAGAGGAAGAGGGAGGCCCCCACTGCGATGGAAAGATCAGGTGGAGAAGGACTTGGCTTCACTTGGCGTTTCCAATTGGCGTCAGTTGGCACAGACGAGAAACGACTGGCGTGGAAGAAGAGAAATGGTGTTCAAAAATGTTTGCCCGGGGCTTTCATACAATTTCATGGTCGTAAGTACTTTGGTTGTCGAGATATTTAAATATTTGTTGCTCGGTGGTGCACTTGTACCACCTCTTTCTACACAAGAGTTAATGAAGTGTTGAATAGGCTGGCCTTTTGTAACCTTTTTTTTTTTTTTGGTCATTAAGCTTTTTATTTGGCCGATCTAGCTTTTTTATTTTTGAAGTCCAGACAACACTGATGATTGATATGAAAATATAACAACGTGCACATGTACGTGCATACCTATATACATACATATATACTTACTTATAAGAATTATTCGTAGGAATTTAAACACATTCGTACTAAAAATCAAAACAAATAATGGACAAAAATAAAGCATAGGTTGTGTATACATACATACATATAAGTTTATCATAATACATGGTACACACTTATCGATGTATGTATGTATGTATGTATGTTTACATATATACAAGGAAATCGAATTGCCTGCTCAACAGGTTAAGCTGCTTTAATAGTAATAATAATACTTTGGCGCTTACACTTTAGCTAAGTTTTTGGCCGAGCTTCTCATCCAATTTGTGACGTGCGTCCTGATTTTATAGCACAAATGGCGGGGCTTACAATTTTAAGCAGCCTCCGAACGGTGTTTTTAATTTAGATGTTGATTGGACCAGGAATAGAACTTGGGTATTACGGAGTGGCAGTAAGCACCTCTAACCACACAGCCACAGCGGCCGCCCCCGTTTTAGTTGCTTTAACGACATGAAATTTAAAGACTATTGAAGAAATGAGGAAGCCAATTTTCTCAGACTGGATTTAGCGATTATAAAACCGTATGTTATACATATGTATGTACAAATATTGTTTACTGGTCAATAATCAACGGTTCATTTCAGGTAAATATACTACACACATAAATAAATACAAGCGCATGTATGTATGTATGTAAATGAGCTTAGAGTGAGTAATGAATTTGTGTTTTTGCGAACCCCCCTGCGAAAACCGCGACTACTCCAAAGAGTACTCTCTAAGGGTCTAGGAGTGGACCAAAATTTACAGAAATGTATATAAAAACGTAGTCCAATTAACATGGCGATGTATGTCCTAGGGGAGGACCATATATTCCAACGGTGCACAAAACTACTCCAACGGATTACTGGTGTACCTATTTACCTCTTGGCAACACAGCTCAATAAACATCGTATAGTGATTATGATTGTGGGGATACTCCAAACACGATATTGATATATGTACATGCATACATACATAAATACTCGTAATCAGCTGTCCATGCCGTTAACAAATAGTGGTGCCCCCCACTTTTGCCCCTGTGGTAGAATCGCTTACCTCATCAACACGTTTTAAATTTTCGCACCATCACACAAAGCGAGCAAACGTGAATTGCAAATGACAGTCAAAATAAAGAAAAGAAAAAAACACTTACGTATATGCATACATAATACAAAACATGTTTATTGCTTAAGCTATAGCGCCTGCCGACTTCATCATTTGCGCGGCCTGCGCGGCTCAGACGCAGCTCAGCTCAAGCCAATGGAACATTTTTCAAACCACTTTTGTACGAGAAAGTCCAATGTCTGTTAGCCAGCGCGTGAAAGCAGCGTTAATATTTATGTTTTAACAAAATTTGAATGTACACGCGTATATTTCGAAATACCTACATATCTGTGAAAGCGGGAATTAAAAAAAATGAAGTACGGATACTAAACGGAAAAATATTGATTTAAGTAAGGAATATCTGAACTGTTATCGCAAAAGATGAATCACTCGAAAACCGGCCGTTGACAGCTTCTACAACAACAATATATGTATATGTACATAAAAGTATAAGTGACAACAATACAATCGAATCACCCAAGTTCTGGGCAAGATGATACTCATCTCAACGCTAATCGGCAATTGGGAAAAGCTAACAGTCAGCAGTCATGCCAATTTGGCGGTGCTGATGTTTCTCTTTATGGTTTGCGCTTTTGAGGTGGTTTTGTTGAAGCTAACCACTATCGGTTCCAGCACAGCGAACGGCTTTGGACGCAGCAACACAGAGGATGATGACTCGAGTGAATACGAGGAGGATATTTACTATGAAGACTTGCGTAACAATTACGAACGCTGGGCGCGAAGACAAATGCGCTACCGGCATCGAGTGCAGCGGCAGGAACAGGAAATGCTGCGCCGATTTCGTGAGCAAGAGCAGCAGCGACAGCGAAATCAAGGGGGCATTTGTTAAATATGCGCTAAATATTTGCGGAGGAGGCAATCAAATTCGAGTACATAATGCCGCCCCAGGGCAAGAGCGAAACGATGAAGTAGGTCTGTAGGTGTCGGCGAAGAATGTGCAAAAATGTGACTGAGAAACTATTATACATATACATACGTACATACACACATACATATGTATGTATGCATACACTATAAGAAAACTATTTGCTAAAATAAAGTTATAAATCCATAGTATGTACGAATATTGGCATGCATTTTTATGTCCAGAAATTTTTTTTTTGTCGTAAGTACCAAAAATCCTATTCTGTTCAGCTACCAAAAATCCGGGTAGGTACATGAAATGTTTGCAAACATAATACATACATAAATTTGTTGGCCATTTTACAAAATTTTTTTTTTTTATTATTCAATCCTGAACGGTTTACCGGCTATCGCGATAACATTTTGGCGACAGTGATCGAGTATGCTTGCAATGATTTCGTAAGTTGGTTCTATATATCTCGTTAGGTGGCACAGGAATGGATATTTTTGATAGGCAGAGTTCATGCTTCGTTTGTGAGTTTATACCTGCATATGTATGTATGTATGTAATACATATATTTACATACATTTATAAAAATCGTTGCATCATGTGGCCCATTTGTGCCATATTAGAGTACATACTTACAAAATGCTCCTCTGTAATGCCGTAGCGGACCAACTCGCGTCTCTACACCAGCTTATTGTTACCCGTTTATTGCCCCTATTTTAACGATCGTTATCACTATACGATACGATGTCTATTGGGCTGTGTTGCCAAGAGGTATGGAGTAATGGAGTAATCCCTTGCAGTAGTTTTGTGGCACTCTGATGTAATGCAGAGCTGGAGTATATGGTCGTGCCCTAGGACATCGCAATTCCAATTAGACCACATTTTTATATGCATTTCGGTTAACTTTGGTGGATTCTTTGAGCCTTAGAGAGTAACTACTATTTATATGCCTGCATGGAGTAATAATAATAGATTGGCGCTTACACATTGGGTTTAGCCGAGCTTATCCTCCGATTTGTGGCGTGCGGTTGGATGTTGTCACACACAGGTGAGGGACCTATAGTTTTACGCAGACTCCGAACCTCGATTTTATTTTTATAAGAAACTGTTTTTCATGGGGTAAATACACTCGGTGGTCATTGCCTGCCGAGGTGCGACAGCTATTAAAAATTTTTTTTTTTTTTATGTTGGGTTGAACCGGGCTTGAACCCAGGCCCTGTGGAATGGTAGCCAACCACCATACCACCGCGGCCGCGCGTACATGGAGTAGGGATTTTTTCAGGGTATGGACCTTCCGCATTAATTTTAACATTCGCATTCGCAATAATCTGTGCGGAGCTTGTGCGAATGTTGTGCAAGTCGTAACTAATCAAGAAATTGTGGGCACTGATTGTGATCCAATTCGGCTGCCATCACTTTGAAAGCAGAATTTTCTTCGAAATTGTCATCCCTGGAAATTGATAATAGAATCGATAACAAAATCGATAAATATCGATAACAAAATCGATGAATATCGATAACAAAATCGGTAAATATCGATAACAAAATCGATAAATA